TATGGATTTCTTCATCTGCAAACACAGTATATGCAGTCAAAAGTACCCCAAAATGTAGATCTTTTTGTGGACTCGAGGTTCATGAAATGAGAAGTAAGCGATATCGCCAATTTGAGAAATTTAAGTCTTTGCTTTCAGTGGGTTTTGATGCTTTTAACTCTTCAATCTTTTCCTTCACCTGTTGTGTGGTTTGAAATGACCAGCTCTAACCAAGATCGACGTTATAATTCTTTTGTTGGTGTGGAAAACAGCGAGACGGAAATGGAGGAAAAGATTTACGCACCCTCAAGACACAATATTTGACAATTGGAAAAAATAAAAGGCTTTTTAATTTCTGTTTTGGTTTTTCCTTGCTAAATTACAGCATGGGTGTTGATTCTCGCTTCTTGACAGAGAGCACAATAGGATATCTTAATCCCTCACGTTTTGAATACACAATGGGTTTATAGAACTATTCCGTGCTTGAAACGTTCTGCCTGATGACGTTTGTATGAAGTTTACAACAAAAGTACTCATGTCATAGGAGTGTGTAGTCATAAACATGGTACTTTGGACTTCCTTTTTCTGCTTCTTTTTACGCTGTTGCCCTTTCATTTCACTTTGCTAAACATTCTTTCGGGGTAAACCAAAATGGGACGGATATGGCTTGTGATCTCCTTCAATAGCCCTCACCCCTTAATGTCTACACTTTTAATAGGTCATTATAAACCTCGGTCGTTTCTTCTTTCTTATATTGTTTCGAAGAGAATTAGTTTTTACCTCCATCCCCACTGAGTTCTGGACATTACTCTGTGACTACTGTAGTATTGTTCAGTTTATCGTCTTGTTTTTTTTTTCTTTCTTGTCATTGAGGTTTCCGTCTATATAGATGTGATTCTCTTCCACCAACACGAAAACATGCGCAATTCAACTCGTGCTACGAGGTCATTCACCTTCAAACAACACCATTTCTTATCCTATAAGCGCTCCGGAAACTTTTTGGCTGTGAATCGCTCCGACATTATCTGCATTGTGCATGTAATGCCCTCTTTTGTTTCATGTTGCCATGTTCTCGCTATCGACAGTATCAATTAGAAGAGGGACAAATGTAAGAAATAATACTGGATGAAATCGGAGAAATGCACCGCGGCATTCGGTGTCAACTTCAGCACACCCGCACACCATTCCCGTCCTTTCTCGACCGTCATTCTCCTTGATCTCTTGCAGGTGGCTTGGGTGGGAGGGAGGGGGGGGGGGGGGGGG